TTTTTTAAATCTATTCAGTGYATTAAAACCAATGCATTTATGTRCAGGTTTTCTCACAAGAGACCACTCCAGCATTACAGAAACCAAGAMGATTTACAGCATTCTTCAATGCAACTGCGGGAAATGGGTAATCATCATCATTGTTCATCATCAACATTATGTGATAATAGGGATGACCTTCTAACTTGATTGCATGCTCATTAGCTGGTTATTATATTTTCAAGGGATGCAGAGAAGCTGTTTAAAAAGAATGCAGAGCCAATTCTCCATCTAGCTGGCTTAGATGTTACTATAATTAAGGTATACAAGTATTCCTCTTGTCYGTGGAATGTTTATTAATGATAGTAGTGTTTAGATAAAAAATGGACACCCTTTAAACTTAAATTAAAGTTAAAAAAAATTTCCCTCACTTTTTTGGCAAAAAATGCACAACTCTTGATAATATCATAGAAGAAAAATTATGCACTCCCCCTCTCTTGTCTAAAACACCTCACACTCCCTTGGAATAATTAAATCAACAGTCCATTAAATTATGCTCTCAAACTTGACGTATGTAATATTTATTTGATGCTAGTGCATATAAGGTGATGATTCCATGATATAGCTCACAACACTAATATATTAGCCTAATATTCTTACAGACAGATTATGAAGGTCAAATCAAAACTCTATTACAATACATAGATCCATCAATTGATGGTATCATTGTRGCAGGAGGTGATGGAACACTTTTAGAAGTAGGTGCTTTTCTTTAACGTTCCATACAGAAAATATTTTTTTAGAAATGTATTTTAATTTTTTTTTTCTTGAACTCAGGCAGTAACTGGTTTGCTTAGACGATCTGATCAGGTAAAAAATCATTGTTAGTTTTCAAAAAACACAACACAACAGCAACAATATCAACAACAACAATAATAGCAACAACAACAGCAACAACATACAAATGTAGGAGTGGAATAAAGAAAGYAAGCCTCAATTGACTGATTTTTATATTTTTCTCCATAGGAGCAAGTTTCTAAAATTCCATTTGGAATAATCCCTGTAGGAACAAAAAATAACTTTTTCCAAAGAATCTTTGGCAAAAGTAAAGCTACACAAGCAAGGTATGAAGCTTGACCAAATTGGACTTCCTGTGGTATGATACAATGTTGTGGTGATGAAAATTGCTCTTTGAATTTGTTATTGCAATCCTTTCTTCAGGGAAATTGGTCAAGCTGCCATRGCAATAGTAAAAGGTGAAACATGTCCAGCTGATGTCATAGAGATTAAGGTAAAGTATCACATTTTAAAGTGCACATGACACACAGAAAAACACTTTTATCCGAAAGGTAGCATGCTGACAAGCATTTCTGTAAAGGAAGAAATAGATTTTGAATAGTATATTCTGAGTTATAGACATGTGAAAATTGAAAATGCAAATGAAGTGACGTCAACTAAGGAATTGGTCCAGACTTTTTACATTGTTTGCGCTACGCTGTTCTTGGTTGAAGAGCTCAAGTCATTAACCATAGTAATAATTGAGAGCTGAAAATGCTTTTTCCAGTGTAACAAAAAGAATAACGTCCTCTTTCATGATTTTGTATATTAAATCATTCCTTAGTAGACGTCACTTAATTTGCATTTTCTAAGTTTCAATTGCCCATAACTTAGAAAATACAATTTAAAATCAATTTGTTTCTTCACAGAAGTACTTAGCAGCATTTTCTCTTTTGGATGAGAATGAATTTCTAATGGTGTCATGTGCACTTTAAGAATCAAAGGCTGTTGTATTTTTTTTAAAACAAACAATAAATGAGATGAAATATTTTGACCAGGGACAAGAAGGAAAGCCTACTTTTGCTGTCAACAGCATCAACTGGGGAGCATTCAGAGATGCATCAGTAAACTACGACAAGTAAGTTTCCATCATAAAAATAATTACAATTGGATGTAATTAAAGGAAGTACTTGGAGTTTTTTTGTAATCCCGGAATTATCTTTGCTATGTTAGATATTGGTATTGTGGTCCRTTCAGAAAGAAAATGGCTTTTATTGCTGCTACCCTCAAGGTATTTGTTAATGTAATTCTTTCTAAGTACAGTCCTTTTGTTCAGCTTATAAAACATACTTGTATTCATTTGTTTGAGTGTAAAGTTTGTGTTCAAATTGCAAAGTTGAAACTACTTTCAGAATCGTGAATTGTTGTTATTTTCTAGGGATGGCCACCCACTCATCAAGCTATGTTAATGTACCCTAGACCTGACACACATAGTTTGACAAGAATATCAAGTAATGACAATAGTGGAGGATTACTATCATCACGGCTTACATCACATACCATGGCAAGTGTATCAGATAACAGTCCTGTCAATCATTCTGAGAACAGTTATGTCAATGGCTGGGTGAATAGTTCAGTTGAAACACTTGGTATTTCATTGCAACTKTCTAAAGACAAACAGGTGAATACTAGATAAATAGACTGTCAGATAAATGTAATAAGAATAAAGAGCCAACATTAATGTACCTCTAAACCATTGCTATAAATGTGAAAAGTCTCACTAATGTTGCTTTAATGTTTTATCACCTCAGGGAAGAGGAGTAGTCGATATCACTGTATGGCCTTCAGTGTTACCAAAATTGGATTTCATAAAGAGAGGGTAATAGTTGTCATAATTCACAATCAAATAGGTTTTTGTGCATCCTTCAGCTTGCACTTAGTTATGCTAAAATATTGCATTTTCATAATTTGCAGTGAATAAAATGTTTTAATGCCATTTGAAAAATGATAATTTTAATCTTATGCTGTTTTTATTAATATCTTTGTAGTTGGAAAATGCTAAAAGATGAATTTGATAATGAAGGTACAAAATACCATTAAGTGTTCTTGTACAGTGTACATTAGAGAAGATTTTTTATTACTGTTCAAAGGTCACAGAACCTCCATCTGTTTGTGGAGCCAAATAAAAATACTGATCCCAGCATACATCACTGCTACATGACACAGTCACAATACAACAGTAAACTGTGCTTATTGCACRGTCATACAAAATCTGCTCCAGATTATGATAGACATTACACYGCAAATAACCTCGTTTGTGTCCACCCTGTGTTAATTGGAATTTTTATTGATTATTTTCTAAAGTACACAAGCACATCTATCCGGGAACGGGGGGGGGGGGGGGGGGGTTATAAAGAACACTCCCAACTAGTGAATCATCGACTTGGATTAATCTTTTATTATTTTTAAAGACTGCTGTGATGCTTTTCAAGTACAAGAGATTAATCTGGAACCCAAGGATCAAGAAGTGAGTAACAATACATTATAATTGATAATATTTATTATTTTCGATACATTCCTACTGTAAAATAGTCAATTACAAGAGACTATGAATATTAATGCTAAATCCACCAAGCAAGACTGTGGCCTCTTAAATTGTATAGAAAACTTTAAAAAAACTGTTTTAGAGCTTTTCATTTTGTWATTAGATCTTTATGTTACACATCAGTTTGTCTTTACCTTGTATCAAYACATAAATATTTTGATGTGACTACAGTCTAAAGGTGGAAACTTAACCTACTGTGTTTCAGGAGTCATGGTTCAGTATTGATGGAGAACCCTTTGATGCCAGACCAATTCAAGTCAAAGTCCAACCAGACAAACTTAAATTCTTTACTTTAAGAAATGTATAGTTCATTATTTATGTTAATTGATTTTTAAAACATTTCATAGTAAAAATACATGTACACATAAATAAGAATCAAAGTTTTGACTTCATAATTCATCACTAAGTCTTGGCCCCTTTTTCCTCTTTTTCTTTTCTTCTTTTTTCTTTTGTTTTGATGACATAGTTCTTCTTGCTTTCTCCTTTTCATATTCCTAAAAAGAATTAAGATTCGCTATCACCGTTGTTACTGCATGACAAAAATTGTTGGCTATCAATAGACTGACTTACAGCATCTAATTGAGCCTCCAGTTTGTATGGGTTTACATAATTATCATCCTTTGGTACCAACTGCAGTTCTTGTGCAACCTTTAAACATGAATAACATGGTAATAAAACCAARTATAATTGAATAAGTTTGTCTCTCATTGATATGTGTGTGGAGGTGATTCACTATACGACATAATCAGAAGCTTGATTATACACATGCCTATATTGTGCTGGTTCACAATCATATTTTTTAGCACAAGCACAAGCATAAGAAAATGAAAACGTTTTTCTCATTGCTATGCTTATCCTTCTGCTAACACTGTTGTGTAAACTGGCYTTAATTACATACTTAAGCTATACAGCAGCACTGCCCACAGAGCTGGGTCAAAATGCAATTGAAATAAAGTTCACAAGAATGAAGCTTGAGATCTATACTTACCAAATTAAGTAGTTGTCTTCCTGTTCCATCATAGACTTCTGTAGCATTACATATACTGATGCACCATTTAATCAAGAGTTCATGTTCTTTTGACCTTCTTAAAATCTAAAAGGTTTATTGATGGAAAGATTATAGTAAGTCCTGTTTCCCATAAAATTACATTTAAAGGTATAAATTATTATTGTTTTTGATTCCTATCATATTAAACACATAAGTAATGGGATGACTCTGATGATTACCTAGCAACCAACCAACCAATCATATTCACCTGGTGTGTAATATCTGGAAGTCGTAATAGAATGTCACCAAAAAGTGCAGTATTTTCAAGAACATGCGCTAAAGCTGAGAAATTTAAAGCAATTAATTAATTCACTGGTGCAAATTATTGTTTTTCTTTTGAATAGTTTAGAATATAATATACCTTCTTTTATGTCTTTTTCTAATGGAAATGGATCCCCTGGTGTGTAGCCAACATTTGCCAACTCTGTTCTTGATTTTTCCATTACCTACACATAAAATATTACCGACAATTAACAATGATAAGTTATTATTTTCCCTTTAATTTCACTGTTTTCATAATGATAATTAAAAAAATTAGCATAATGTTTGCCAATGGTGTGAACTAGTTGTCAAAGACATGTCAATGTGATCATACTTCACCAACACCTATTGATTTCAGAGATGATAAACAGTCAACCCATCAATAATAGCTTTCATTTTTCTTGAAAGTTGAGGGCACAAACTAAAACTATTACAAGGGAATAGGAAAAAAAAGAAGAACTTTGCCACCCCTGCAACATTTGAGTTAATTGACAGGTGTTTTAAGCTTTTTTATTGTTTGATAGAAAAAATAATATTTCTTTYAGAGATGCCACAAGTTAACCACTTAAGACAACCAATTACACTGAAACACAACAGCATATCCATATATCACTATATTTTTCTATTTTAATTAATTGAAAAGAAAAACAGAAATTTACCCAAAACATTTTCTCTGTAACTTTGTCCACCATGTCAAACTGTTTTGCATAACTTTTCAAATCATTTTGTATGGTCTTTGCTGCAGCAATTTGTTGACCTCTTTTTCTTTTAAACGCACTGCGATCTAGAATACAATTTTCACTAAATAAATAATATCTTTTATTCTATAATAACACATTTAATTTATAACAATAGTCTGCTTTTATTCCGAAATAAAAAACCCTGACATCCCTATCCTTTTTGAAATGAGAAAAACAAAAGAAATGAATGGAAACTGGATGGAGATAAAAACAATAAAAAGTTAAACAACTTTATAAATAGAGTTATGGAAAGTTGTATACGTTACTAAAATACTTGGAAAATATCAGGAATATCAGAGATCATCCCTCAAGCCAGGATAAATAAGTTATTTTAGTTAACAAAGAAGTACTACAGCGAAGTTTTTGCTGTGTTTTCAACTTACAGGTTTCCATCTCTAGTTTAGATCTAGCGGCTCTCAAATCTTTATGCTGCTCTTTCAGTTCTTCTGCCTGTTTATCCAGTTCTTCATTACCAAGAGTAAAGCTTACGACAGCTAAGAACACAACTAGAACTCTAAAAACTGCCCTCTCCATTTTTCTACAACTTTTTACCGAACTCTAACTTTGTTTTCGTTTGAGCGAATAGTTTAGCACCACGTGCAGTCTCGTTTCGAAGCTGAKWTGATAGGCTGCTGTACAGTCACATCGCATGCTCCATTACAGGTAACTCGGTGTGCCTCCTAGTCCTAAATTGTCTACCATTTGTCTAAATACGTCGAATTGGTATTCTCCACATTCAACATCAAGTTGACAAGTAGAAACTTTTTATGCGCATTTGTCGTTTTCTGAAATATATTAATACACAGGTAACCCAAATGAAACATTTGACGCGTTTATTTAGTATACTTGTCATAAAAAATGAAAAAGAGAGAAAAAGAAATAGAAAAAAACGCAAACCAAAAGACAAAAACTTTTGTTCAATCAAGGAAAAATAATAATATAACACTAGCTGACTTGAATTCGAACCCGGGTTCTTTGGATTGAAGAACAACGCCTTATCTAGGTGCGCCACTGGGCCACACTCATTTACATAATAATAGACCACTTAACTTGACACTTTCACCGAATAGACTACCCCAATTTGACATTATATTTTCGATAGTTGCCTAGTTAGTGCAAGGGGTTATCCATCAGTGTCTAGGGGCCGGATAGCTTCTCCCTCAATGGCTTTTTAGTTAGCGCGAAGTTAGGACCAATTATCGGGATAGCATGGAAGAGCCGAAATCTCTAGCCGGAATGTAAATCGATTCGACGCCTCAGCTTCACAGAATGTCTCGGGGGAATCGTCCCAATCTTTTTCGATTTCTTTGACCTGGGTTCGAGTCCCAGYAGAGTCGAGTTCTTCTTCTTCTTCTGTTTTCTTTCTTTCTTTTCTATCGTGTTCTTTTTTTTATATTTTCTTTTTCTTATCAATATTTTTTCCGTATATACATTTTATAATTCTATCATATAAATTAAAAGCACCAAATATATTTTACATGGATAATTGTGGTTGTTATATAAATTTGATACCACCCTCAGTTCCTAGGATAGAGCAGGCCGCTTGGAGATATTTGGAAAAATGAAATCCGTACCGCTCAGAAGGGTTAAGGAGTACTTTATGTACTTTGAGTATCAAATCAGCGTCATTTTGGGACTTGTGTACCAACGTTTTTAGAGTGTGGGACCATCATGAGAAGACGGGATACCCTGAAGGAGACGGAAAAAGGGGATGGAGAAATCCTCTGGTTACACGGTAAATTCAGGACTTACCAGGCTAATCAAGTGACACACGTATCCTCAATGCGCCATTTTTTATAAGTTTTAACGCCATACGTACGTTTGTTTAGTGTATGGACGAAATTTCTAACTTGTTCGGAGCAAGTCCCTTACCTCAGTGCCACAATACAGAGCACTACTTACATGCATCCTAGTTTAGCCTTACTTTCACAAATACAAATCCAGTGCAATGTCCTTGGATAAACGCATATTTCATTAAATCTAGATGGCAGTTGATCTTGTAGCTGTAGGTAATTTTTGAATTACATATTTCAAAAAATCATTTTATTATACTAGTAACTAGAAAAATATTTACACTGCAAGARTTTCATGTATTTCTTTTATTAATCCAGATTTTTCATATAGTATGAGGTCATTTTATGTTTGAATTTATCTTGAAGTAACACCTTTGCATACCCTGTAAGCAGAGTGTTATTTGCCTTACGTTCATCAATCGCGCATGAATACACTCTGCTCGCAAGGTACACTAGCTCAGTCTCCTCGCAGTTGTGTTAAGTTTCGGTCACGCGTTTTTGGGTGCGTGACGCGTGACCGAAACTAAAAAAGATTGCGAGGACTGAGACTAAAGGTACACGCAAAGCTTTAACCTGACAAAATGTGCAATGACRTTTATATTGCTCGTTTGGTTCGCTCAAATGAACACATTTCCCGAGTTTATGCACTTTCTATTAAACCAGTATTCGACCTTGCTGTACAACAATAGATGCAGAATATAGATAACTACAATGATGAAACAGGAACTGTGATAGCATATTGATTAGGATATAAAAATATGAACACATGTTAGTCCTCTCTAACATCACATGCAGCAAGCAAAGCGTAATGAGGCATGAGATGTAAACAATAAGACATGCACAGAGTGTTGTTTCTCTTGCTTCTCAAGCCCTAATAATCTCCTAGAATGTCAACATCAGAGACACCAGTGACACTAGTTTTGTATATTCCTTTATAAAATATTTCTGATAACAACTGTGTAATTTGTTATGATGAGCATCCAAGCGAGTTTTAAACAGGTTGWCAATCAGCACAAGAAATGATGAATTGATTATCAGGCAAGTTGTGAGGAGCAAAAGATTTGTCATGAACTCTGTTCCTAATTAAATATCAGTTATATCGGACAAGTTTTATGAGCATGCTATGGTTCAAACTTGTTTTATAAAATTAAGGAAAGAAAAACTAATAATATTTGAACCACAGCAAGTAATTCCAGTAATAACTATTCTGCAGAAGAAGTTCCTTCTATCTTTTCTTCCCTCTTTTATTRCCAGCAGGAGGTTTTTGCAGCTCAAATCGTGAAAGATTTAGATTAGATGATGCAGGACTGCCAAATGATGAACCAAGGGCTGTATTTGGAGTCCCAAATCCAATTGTTTTATTGACTTGACCAGCAACACCAAAACCTGCAGTTGCACCAGCTGGTTGACTTCCCAGGGCTTTGAATCCAGCTCCYAACCCTGATGTACCYGGTGTTGCAAATGATGTGTTTAAACCTGACCCTCCAAGTGATGACCCAAACCCTGATGAGATGCCAAGTCGATTAGATGTGGTTCCTAATCCAGATGTCCCAAGTCCAGTAGTCTGAATTTTAGAGCCTGTCACAAAACAGATATAGAGGATATTACATGTGAGCGCGGAGATACGGATTTTATCTTCGAGTGTTGAAAAGATCAAGATAAAATTCATATCTCCAAGCAAACATGTAATATTTTATTTATCATATAATTGTATATGAAGCAAATTATGTCATAAAATAGCTTTTTTCTTACTTCCCCTGTATAGAGAAACCTCAAATGTGTTATTTTCACTAGTGAAGATAACATGTTATTTTCACTAGTGAAAATATCAATTTTACGAAATGGAGAAATATAGGTATTTCATAGATAATTAAATATTCTTTTCATAGACCTGAAGTATTGTGTCCTATAATATTTTGTTCATGTGATGGGCCACTCTAGATTTTACATTACCTAAAGTAGTATTCAAGCCACTAGTGGGTACATTACTGAATGGTGATGGACCAACTCCTGTTCCTATATCTGAAACAAAAGAAGTTTAAAATTGCAAGACTTGATGAAACCTTTTAACCTTGAAGCTACTGTACTGTACAACTTACTTGGCCTTGTAGAAACCCTGGTATTTTTCATAAATATATCTGTGTTGTCTTTGAAGTATGCCTTGCGATAATTTAAGTAATGCTCTTTTTGAAGCTGAAAATTAATGTAAGTTATTAGAATGATGAATCTAAACATGATGAATGATGAATCTAATACTGAGCAAGGTTTAGTGTTATTCAGTGTTAATAGTTTAATCTTGCAATAGAAAATAATGGAATTACCATGACTAGTACATGCTAATACACTAGTCAATGAACTCATTTTATACCTTGACAGCTTCATGTATTCCATGTAATTGTGCTGCTAGAGCAATGAATGTATTGTGAACTTTGTGCATGACCAGCGACAAATCTGAATAAAGAGGAAAGATACATCAATAACATTAAAACTTTAGCTGTAAGTCCTGTTTTTAACATTGACACACTCTAATCAGGCAATCAGAAAGCAAGAATTCACACAAGTGTGGAAAAATCTATATTGGGAAATATTGAGTGTCAGTCCTGTCAGTAAACCACACCAATATCAACTGCTTTATTCAAAAGCAAGAATAATCAATAAAATTAACACAAATCAAGCTGATCACACAATACGTTCTGCTTATGTGTGAGTAGTACCTTGTGGTGTCAGTGCCTGTCCTTGTGAGAGTGAGGCTAAATGACTTTCCATAATTTCAATTTGTTTCCTGTATATTTGCATACGCTCTTCAAAGCTCTCAACAAGCCTTGCAAAGTATTCCTGTGGAGCCATGTTTTCATGTTGTAGTGCTGGTGGTATCTCACTTGTGTGTTGAGCAATTTCTGCATTTTTCAATTCCTAGGGAAAATATCAATTATATTAGGKCAAATCTCTTTTTTTGAAATAAAGATTCAGTAACAGCAATAACTTTCCAAATGTGTTTACCTAATGAATTTGATCGCTATAATGAGGTACACATTTGGTTGTCTGCGGGCCCCTATTGTATATCCCATAATAGACTGTCCATTCATATTCTAATAATAGAGAGTTTTAGATACATGTTTACGGCGAATGCCAAACATCAAAACTGATCGTAATCACTGTTTTTCTGTATTAACACAATTGTGTATAAAATAGATCACTTTTCCATGCATAAGCACATCACTATTCCTTTATGTTTGTTTGAAATTTTGAGACAAAGCATAAAAGCCAATTTGACGTTTAGCATTAGCAGTAAACATGAATCTAAAWTTCCCTAATAATATCAGCTGTACCTGAGCAACATCCATTTTCAAGTTTTCCACAGCACATGCATCTCGTTGAATACTATTTGACACAACAGCAAGGGACTGTAATATAAGACAGAGACATAATTTCATCACATGACCAGAATGYAAAAGACACAAAAGGCAGAAATGACTACTGAGTACAGTTAAGACTTTCTGCCTTGGAATAACTTAAATGAGAACTTTGACTTACCTGCCTTAACGACACTGTCTCTTCTTGGACCTTTTGAATATTACTGACAGAAAACCTTGCAATCTCATCTCTGTGATCTTTTTGCTGTTTTACATAGTTTCTGAAAAGATACAAAGTAATGAGAGCAGCAGTCACAAAAAGAAATTGTAATATCATAAACTTACTAGTATAAGAAAAAATATAATTGCATTACAAAACAATTGTTTCTATCATTGGTTTTTCATTTAAACATAACATGCTTATTAGGATAACATCTGTTATTTTGTTGAAAAAAGCAGGCATACCTGATACCAACAACTACAATAATTTTTATCGATTTGCATTTAAGTACTTATCATTATATTAAGATAACTAATGAGTGTAAAAAGTGCAGCAAACTTACTTCATTTCCTCAACTACTTGGATCAGTGGTTTGGGTACTTGGTTGTCTTTCAGATTTTGAATCTCACTAAGACAAAAAAAAAAACAAAATCAGGGTGTTGAAATCATTATGAAAAGAATGTCTGAGGAATGATTTTTATAGGGGTATTGTAGGTATCCTGAATTATAGTCATTACCATGTCCACCTGAGCTGGGGACCATAACGTAAAACATTTAGCTCAAGATCATGCTAGCTGTATTTGTAAAACAGACTGTGATCCAAGTATTTTTCCACATGGCCCAACCAAACTCAGTCAATTTAACAAATCGAAATCGCTTTTCTATGGTCTGTACGCTTATCAACATTGAAAATGGCGTCAGAAAATGATCAAAACTCAAGTGGAACCATGAGCATAGCRAGTGGTTTTACTGCCAAGTTTTGATCATTTTCTGGCATCATTTGAATTGTCGATAAGCGTACAAACCATAGAAAAGCGATCTCGATTTGTTTTTTTACCATAACAAAGCAGAAAACAAAGTACAACATTCAAAACAAAACCGTTTCTGGTACGTGCCAGCTCCGTGTGGGAGAGATTTTCCATCATTTCATATGTCTGTCCTTAGTTATGGTAACATTTTATTACTCAGAAGATTTTTGACTACCTCAATTTTATTTTCTATCTTTAGACCTCCAATGACAATGGTCTAGGAATCGATAATAAATTATTTTGGACCTGCATGCAGTCTCACACACATTTTTTTCGCACATTATTTTCAAAAGGCTTTCTTAAGATCATGCACAGCTGTCAAATACAGGTCATACATATGGATTTGACTTGTACTAAGAACCTGTGCTATTAAAAGCTACTTTTTAAACCAAGGGTTGAATTTATACCTTGGCTTCCCTGCAATACCATGAACATTTCCAGATAACGAGACAGTGGCACTAGTCCCAGTTCCCCCTAATCCAGTAATACTTGTTTGCGCGCTTGATGTGCCTGCATTTGTAGTTGCCAGTCCCCCAAACAGCCCACTTGTGCCAGSTGTACTGCCAAGGGATAAACCTGATGTAGCWGTTGTAGTTGTATTACCAAATATGGATGTTCCTGTAGTTTTTGGTGCTACGGCCGAAAATAAACTAGTAGTCCCAGGATTAACAGTTTGTAAATTACTTAAAGACAATGCACTTGAAGCAGTAGTAGTTGCTGCCGTTGAACCAAACTTAAATCCACCCGTAGATGCCGTTGATGTTTGGCCAAATGCACTTAAAGTCGCTGGTTTTGAAGTGGCAAGACCACCGAAAGCAGAAAAACCAGTTGATGTTGCATTCGTTTTCGGTGTGCCAAAAGAAATAGTTGATGGAGCTGATGCAGAAAATGCACTGCCCGCTGATGGAGTAGCGGTTGATGCGCCAAAAGAAAATCCTGGTGTTGTTGTGGTTCCTAAACCAGTGGGTTTATTTTGACCAAATGTAAGAGCCGTGGCTGCCGCCATTTTTCTTGCTAATGAATCGTTGAAGTTGTTCATTTTCTATCGACTTCTCTGATTGGTTTATAATTCAATTAGCCAATCAAACGCCGTGTAAAATTGAAATAATGTTGARCTGAATTGTGGGTAYTATTAAACCCATAAGGCATTGCAGGTGAGACGGTAGAGGAATCCCAAGATGGTTTATGAAGRTGGAAAACGRTGAAATATCTTCTAGATGACTCAAATAATTGTYAAGTTCGTCCCTTTCTGTGATCGTTCAAATTGGCCTTAGACTTAACAGGATGGATATTATTCAGACAACGCAGGTAGGCTTRTAATTGCATTTTGAAGCGATGCGTGTCACCCGATCTGCCAAGATAGTCYACTGTCTTTGCGCTAACAAATGCTTGCAAATTCTTCATGGAAATGTATTCAGTGACTCTGAATTTAAACTTCGAGGAAAATCTCAATAARATTTTATTGAACCTAACGCTAAACCTTTAGAGTTTAATGTTTTTAACTCTGGCACCAGAGTTAAATTGTTTATTTTACAATGCTCGTAAAGAGACAGAGGTGCCGTACCGGCGGACCGATTTAGAAACACTCAGGTAAAGCTATATGCAGTGTCGATATTTGTTGATATTTGTCTGTTAACAGGTGCGAGGAGTACGTCTTAAGTCCAAGTTCAATAAAGCTAGAGGAAACCTATATGTGACRACTACACACTTAATTTTTGTTGATCCTGATTGTGCAACTGAAACATGGGTAAGCTAGACAGCTTAAAAGTTTGCTTCCTACTTCATTTTCGAGTGCCAATCTATACACCAACCGCAAGCTATTCAGTCATCAAGTACAAAAGCTATTTAAAAATAAGCTTTATCTTAACCATCATAAAGTAATAAAAAATAAATAAAATTCTGCTACTTATTTCAAAAAATTACAAATATTCATTTTATTTTTCTTTCTCTTTCAGATTCTYCATTCTCATATTTCTAATTTAGAGAAGCTTCCCCTAACTGCTGCTGGTTCMCCATTAAGAATTCGYTGCAAAACATTTCAAGATGTGACTATTATTATTCCCAAGGAAAAAGAATGTCATGATGTTTAYGCTGCAATGTTACATTTCTCTAACCCAGGTTTGCAAAGGAGATGCTATTGTTTGGCTTATAATTAAATTGTACTTAGGAAAAGGATTGTGATTGGATGCAAGGAGTTATTTGCTAAGACACCCACTKTAGGCCATATGATATAAAACACTGTAGGTGTAAGGACATGAATCTTTCATCTGCATTTATTCTACTACCATCCCTCCCCCTACTGAATACGTTTCCACTCTTACATAAAAATAACCTTACAACTATACCTATCCTAGCCTGTGTTACATCCAGAATTTCTGTAGAAATTAGAAAAAAATTCCAGGTGAAACACAGGCTATACCTATCCACCTCTAATCTATTTACTTGACTTAATACCTATATGATTGATAATCTTTACTAATTCTTGATTCCATACTGTGTTTGCCTTTATAGAAAAAATACAAGATCTGTATGCATTCTCCTATTCACCACAGACTGAGAAACTCACAAGGTCTGCTGGATGGGCACTATTTGACATAAAGTCAGAATATGCCAGAATGGGTGTACCATCTGAATTATGGACTTCATCTCCAATCAACCAAGATTACAAGGTATATTAGTGGAACGAAGAAAAGTTTCTCAATTGGCAGGATTTATCTTAATCAATAGCGGTCAACTTTATGCCTCAGTATTCAAACACTAAAGAATCAAGTCCATACACTGTATAAAGCTCAATCATTTGTGAAAAACTATTGTCCTTTTACAAATGAATTAGTATTATGCACAGTTCCTCATCTTGATTCCTTTGTGTGTGACAACTGAGGCAAAATTTGCAGATGGACTATTGATTCTCTGGATACCTCTTGTTAGAGGAGGAAGAAGGAAGAATACAATAGATAATTATGAAAGCAAGTTGTGGTTACTGAGTGATCATTGATTTGCTTCTTTCAGATTTGTGAGACATATCCAAGTGTATTATTTGTCCCAACTACTGCTTCAGARGATACAATTTATGGAAGTTCAAAATTCCGCAGCAGAGGAAGATTYCCAGTTTTATCATTTTATCATAAAAATACAAAGGTATACAGATGAAACACTTTTTGTTCAAATGTGGAAAGTGGTTTCGCAGGTCCGCTATAAAGTTATATACTCTAGCATCTTTCCAAAGGAACAATATTTAATTTAATATTTTTTGGGGTTTTTAAGGCAGCCATTTGTAGATGTAGTCAACCTTTAGGAGGATTTAAAGGACGGTGCCTAGAAGATGAAAACATGATCAAAGAAATTCTTAACTCAAATCCTGGATCTAAGTTTCTCTATATTGTTGACACAAGACCAAAAGTGAGTTTGATACCATTTTGCACGTTTCCTTATGTTTGGGTTTCCTGTGGACATAGTACCACAGGAAACCCAAAACAAAATCCTTTCATGTGCGTGCATTTTTGATATATAGAATATACAAGAAAATAATAATGATTTGTGTTATGTTCAAGCTTAATGCAATGGCTAACAGAGCAGCTGGCAAAGGMTATGAAAGTGAAGATTTCTATGAAAACGTGAAATTCCAGTTTGTYGGAATTGAAAATATTCATGTCATGAGACAATCTTTATATAAGATGTTGGATGGTATGTAAACTTATTATTGTTGGAAATTACTGTTGTTTGCACACCTATGCAACTATCCTGCTGGACGTCTGTCAATCAAAAGTTTTAAAGGTTGCCATCAATAAAGTTTAGTCGATTGATTGGCGTCCATTGCTACATGTATGTACAATTGTTTTATATGGACTTGTTGCATAGCAATGCAAACAACGGTAACAAGTATTTTTTATTGATCTCTATAATTTATATTCACAAGTGTGCTTACTTATATATTAATATTCTTTTTTTATTCTTAGTATAAATATTGTAATTAGAATTCTTCTAACATTACTGATATATATTTTTAGTTGTTAGTGATAGTSCTAAAATGTCAATGAGTGGATTTTTAAATGGACTGGAAGCCAGTAATTGGTTAAAACACATCAAGTCTGTCATGGATACCTCTGTGTTTATTGCAAAGGTAAGCTTGTTTCCTTTCTTACATCCCTCCTCCCAAATTTTATTGCTCTTTCTTTCTTTTTTTTCTCTTCCTATTTTTCTTTTTGCACCCACTTTCATTTCCTACATTTRTATTCTTTCTCTCGCTTTTTCATTTTGTTTGTTAACTTAATAAATTGATTTCCTGTTTTCTTTATAAATTATCTTCAATATGCTGTTTTTTCACTCATTTTTCTTCTATTCGTTCATTTTTCTTTTCTTTGCCTATTCATGAAACAGTCAAATCTTGTAGGTATCTATCTGATTTACTTACAATTCCATGGATCAGTTTTCAACMTAGAATATACTGATTTTCAGGCTATTATCACAGAAAAGGCCAGTGTTCTTGTTCATTGTAGTGATGGCTGGGATAGGACAGCTCAGACATGCTCACTTGCTAGTATTATCCTTGATCCATATTACAGAACCATTCATGGGTTCCAGGTAATGTTTTCACTGACTATGTGTTTGTTTGCCAGCTAGAACTATATTCAGTAAAGTGCCTCTTGATGTTATAATTTAGTTTTTGAGTCTAGGCAATCTTAGTATCAGTCCTTTTGTGAGAGGGAAGAGAGATGAGAGGGATTTTAATCCTTAAAAGCCCTCTTTTTCTTTCATTCTTTTTTTTTCTCCCTCATACATGTAGACTGATATTCAGCTAAGGCTGAGTGAGGGGTAACAGCTAGCTCCTGTCATATGGTAAATTCCCATGCTGAAAATTTAGCTAAGAATATATTTAACTGATATCATTATTTTAAAAAAAATCTCCCCTGAAGCTTATTTTCCATGTTTAATAGGTATTGGTTGAGAAAGAATGGTTATCATTTGGACATAAATTTACAGACAGGTAAAGTAGATGTCAACTTTTACAGTTCCATCTGTATTCCCTTTATCAAAAACAACTTTGTGAATTAAATAAGAAGGAAAGAAATCTCCCCATGAATTGATGCTGTTAAAACAGMATTGAGTCCCTAGCTATTGTGTTCTTGTATGATCAAATTTAGAGGTTGAAGGAYCAAASTGACTGATTCATTACACTTATAATGGTTGGATAATTCATCTTCCAGATGTGCACTTCTTCAATCAGACCAGAARGAATTTTCCCCAGTGTTTCTCCAGTTCCTAGAGGCTGTCTGGCAAATGATACAACAATTTCCATTTGCATTTCAATTTAATGAAAGATTTCTTTTGACACTTCATGACCATGTGTATTCATGYCAGGTAGGTAACTAACTCTGCAAACTGCAGGGATGTAGCTCTATAAAACCCCAAAACTACTATCTTGTGCAATATATAATGGCCTATAAAAGATTACAACTGTGAAATAGCACATTCTCACATCCTCCCATCCAAATCCTTGGATCTGCACCTGTCGAGTAGTAACTTAATGTCTAGTGATATAGCTCGTACAATRACCAATTTTTTTCTCTTTCAGTTTGGTACATTTTTAGGCAACTGTGAAAGAGAACGAAAAATGCTAAAGTAAATACATTTTTTTTAAATCATTGTTATTGCATCACATACATAATATTGATTATTAATTGATAATCATAAGTCTATTCTAACCTTATTCTGTTGCATATCAAAGTCGCAATAGAGATTCAAATATGCCTTTTTTATTTGCAGGTTGTCAACAAAAACCTACTCTCTATGGGGATACATGTGGCAAAATATTAGTGATTATGCAAATCCTATACACAAAGAAATGGAATGTGAGATATGGCCTGACACGTCACCACAATCACTCAAGTAAGCTATATTTTTACCACACTTGAGTGAAGTCTTGCACACTTATCTGATTAGAGTGTATCAATAGCAGGACAATCACCCTATACTGTCACCAAGTGCTCAACTGCACATACATCAGTCACCTGTTGCGTCTTTTGAGGGGTGCAATGCATGAATATAAGGGTGAGGGAGACCGTCTATACAATAGCAGAATGAATGCAAGGGTGAGGGAAAACTTTTCTACCATAGTTAGCAGAAAAAAAGAGTAATGACTGGGTACAAGTCTGGCCAAGCTGAAAGAAAATAATAGATTTTGAGCATTTTCAATTTTCAATATATTTACAATTGTACTCATTGTTCAGTATCTTTGGGGAGTGAAAAATATAAAATTGTTGCATTTAATTCATGTTGTCTGAATTTTTTGATTATAGGTTTTGGAGAGCCATGTATAACCGCTATGATAATGATGTACACCCGCGTGAAACCCTTGCTGACTCTTTAAGCAGCATTATAGACCATAATGATTCATTAAAAGATCACATAAAACTATTGAATAAGGTAAAGTAAGTGTAATGTATGGCCATCACTTACCAATGACTTACATTGAATATATTACTACAAAGGCTGAACCAGCAACTGTTGTGCACCTTTGATGGGATACCAGCAAGCACATTTTTAATAATTTCTTTATGCTTTAAACCTCACCATTTGAATACAAAGAAAAATGTTTTTGTTGTTTTCTATCAGCGTATTGAATTATTAAAAAAGCTCAAGAGCCATTCAGCAGCCAAAKTACCAAATGGACCTGCAACAAGCCATGCAAAAACAGAAGAGACCTTGAACAGTATTAATCCAGAACTTTTAAACAAAATGAGTATAAACAGTGAAGTAGTTTCAGTCACACAAGCTACAGCTGAAGAACAACTTCCACAAGATTTGAAAACAGATCTTAAACGACAAGGAATGTCACTGAATGATCTGCTTAATGATGTTCCTTCRATTGCTGTGCAATGGAAATCTGTAAGAGATGTTTCGCAGTGTTCATCATGTGCTGCTCCTATAGCATTTCTTAGTAGAAAGGTAGGTATTGGTGTCCTTGGCAGCTGTTCTTATATGTATTGTTGGGATTCCTGTCTCACACTGGAAGCCAAACAAAA